CCACTTTCGTCCAGTGGACCAACATTATGTCCTCCACCAACACCGCAGCCCATCAGTCGGTCGTCGCCCTTTTGCGTCGCGGTTTTGGCGACAACGATACCGCGCTACTCCTTGGCAGGATGACTCCCGATAACCAAACTCGCCTTGTGGAAGGCATCGGTATCAACCAAGGCCCGGCGCGCACACAGCTGTTTCGCGCCTACCCGGACACCTTTGAAGAAGCCGCCCGAATCACGCATATAAAATCATTTTCTCCTCCTTCGCGCACGCACGCGCGGCGTCCTCAGACATGGATGCCTCCATGCTTGCCCAGGCATCGGACGACCGCACGCGTTTCAATTGCGGTCGCCCAGGACACTTCTCCCGCGCATGCCCGGCCCCTCGCCGTGTGGCGTCAGCCGCCCCGCCCTCACACGGTTCCTCCCGTACCGCGCCTGATACTCCTTCGCGTTGCCCTCCGAGCGGTCCACCTAACCGCTTCAATCGTGAACGCCATGGTGGTTTACGCCCACCATTCCGCCCCGCATCGGAGCTCGAGTGCGGCGGGAAACGGTCGCTTCTCTCTCCCAGTAGGCGCGATGATCACAGTCGAAAGAGAGACGGATCTCTTTTCGACCTCGACCGCAGATGACTCGGTCCTCGCGGCTCCTTTGAAGTCCCAGACGTGGGACTCCCTACGATCCAACCCCTATTTCGACCTCCTCCAAGAATTTGAGGACGTCTTCCCCGACGAGGTACCACGTCGACTCCCAGTCGACAAGGGCGTTCAACACGAGATTGACCTCGTGCCCGGCGCAAAGTATTGTGTCACGTGGTAATGGCCGCTTCCTCGCGACCAAGTCGATGCCATCGACGCATTCTTCGCGGCCCGCAAGGCGGCGGGTCACGTCCGCTAGTTCATTTCACCTTACAGCAGACGGACCTTCTGTGTGAAGAAGCCCGGTGGGAAATGGCGTATTGTACACGCCTTTAACAAATTGAACGCAGCCACGATTCCGGCTCAGACGCCGATTCCTCGCAAGGATGTTATTATCGACGGCATGGGTCGATCCACCACTTTCTCCACCATCGACCTTCGCGATGGCTTTTACCAAATCTTCATGCGTCGATGTGACGTCCCGAAAACGGCGGTTTCTACGCCGAGTGGCATGTTATGGGAGTGGCTGGTCATGCCACAGGGTCTATCCAACGCCCCGGCGACGTTCAATCGTATGGCCACCGCGAAGTTTCGGGCGTTTCGCGACTTCGCACCGTCGTACTTCGACGACATTTACGTTCACAGTTGCGCCTCCTCCGCGCAATCTGATCTTGACGTTCACCGCGGCCACCTCCGCAAGGTGCTCGAAGTCCTCCGTGCCAACGGACTCTATGCCAACCTCGCCAAATGTATGTTTGGCGTTGACAAAATCCCGGTCCTGGGAGATTTAGTGGGGGTGAGCGGATGTCGGGCTGATCCCGAAAAGATCAAGGCCATTTCGGAGTGGCCTATTCCCTCCTCCGTCAAGGATCTTCGTCACTGGCTAGGTCTTGTGACGTATCTACACAAATATTCGAAAACAATTGCAGACATCGCTTCAGCCATTGTTTCGGCTTCTCCTCAAGGACTCCCCTTGGGTCTTGGGACTCCACATGTCAGAAGGCTTTCGACGGCCTCAAATCCAGCCTACAACGCGCCACGATCTTGGCGCTCCCGGACTTTGACAAACCTTTCTCCGTCGTCTGCGACGCCTCGCAGTTTGCAATTGGCTGCTGCCTGATGCAGCTCGACGCCTCCGGTCGCCCTCGCTCAGTTTCCTACCAAAGCCGCCAACTTCACGCGGCTGAGCGGGCGTACCCAGTCCACGACTTGGAACTTCTCTCCATGAAGTACGCCCTAACCAAGTTCCGTATCTATCTCCTCGGTGGTTAACACCGATCATGCGTCCTTACGCACGGTGACAAACACACCACACCTTTCGCAGCGCATGGCGCGCTGGATTTCATTCTTCTCCGAATTCACATTTTCGGTTCAGTACAAGCCCGGGAAAGACAACATCCTGGCCGACGCACTCTCTCTGCGTCCTGATCTCGAACTGACTACGATCGGTCTCTTAACGTCGGGTCTTCATGATCGAATTCGTGCAGCGTACCCCTTTGACGCTGAATGCTCGTCGCGCTTGGCGGCGCTCATCGACCTATTTCCCCCAAACCCCGCCGTGCTTCGTCGGCCTTACATCACTTCGCCCTCGCCGATGGGCTTTTGATCTTTCAACCCACCCCGGACTCACCGCCGCGCATTGTTGTGCCCGGTGACTCGCAGCTGCGCCTCACTTCCTTCGATCCTACCATGACTCCCCCAGCGGCGGTTTTTTCGGCCACGACAAAATGCACGCGGTCCTGGCGCGTTCATACTGGTGGCCCCGCATGTACAAATCCGTTGTGCGCCACGTCGCTCATTGCGACGCTTGCCAGCGCACTAAGATCACCACCTCCTCTCGGGCCCCGCTCCAACCTCTGTCCATTCCCGACGAACTTTGGTCGTCCGTCAGCATGGATTTCATGTTTGGCCTGCCACGCGACGCCCGCGGCAACACCGGCATTATGGTTTGTGTGGACCGAGCGTCGAAGTACGTTATTGCCGTCCCCGTCCGGGACACGCTGAGCGGCGCGGATGCCGCTCGCCTCTTTTTCGACCACGTTTTCTGTCGTTTCGGCCTGCCTCGCTCCATCGTCTCGGACCGCGACCCACGGTTCACGGCGAAGTTTTGGTCCAACATATTCGCCCTATGCGACACCTCGCTCGATATGTCGACTTCGGACCACCCCGAGTCCGACGGCCAAACGGAACGCGCCAACCGCGTCCTCGAAGATATCCTTCGAAGCTACTCCGTTTCTACCGGTTCCTCGTGGGCTGTCAGGTTACAGCACGCGGTTTTCGCTTACAACGCCTCGGTTCAGGCATCCACTGGCTTTTCGCCGCATTATGCGGTCCATCTCCAACACCCCCGCCTCCCTCCAATGCTCGACAGTTCGATCTCCAGTGGGGGTGGAGTCACTTCGCGGCTACGTTCTGCGGGCGTACGTTCCAACGCCCCCAGCCGCACTCTCCAAACCATTTAGAGTTTCCACTCCCGTCGCGTCTCTGTTATGCAGCAGATCCATGACAGCATCGCTGCCGCTCAGCAGGGCCAATCAACTCAAGCCAACAAACATGGCTGCTTTAACCTCGCGTCCTTCGCCGTGGGCGAACAAATTCGCCACCACAAGTCGGCGGTGCCCGCCCATGCATTCCGCGCACGTACAGTTGGAATGTCTTCCAGCGTCAAGCAACGCAGTGCTTGGCACGGCCCCTTTGCCGTTCTTCGAGTGGTCAGTCCCAACTACAAGCTTGACCTGCCCACCTCATGGCAGATCCATCCAACATTCTATGTGGGTAAACTCAAACGTTATTTACCGTTATTATCGACACGTACGACCGATGAAGTGACGGCAACCGATCCTTCGGATCCCGCGGCGGCTCTTCCTCTTCCGCCGCCTCCGACTTCTCCTCCTCCCATCACGATAATTTCGGGAGCTGCACCCGCCGCCAACAGCGCTAAGACTAGACCGCCTGAAGCAACCGACAGATCAGCGCCCGAGTCTAGTAGCGAGGCTCGGACCGGTACGACACCATCCACCGTGGCCGTCAGGTCTTCGCGGACCACCTTAACGGCGTTCCTTCGCATCGTCGCTACATGACCACCAGGTGTTCCTCGTCCTCGGTCGGCGTCAGCCCGACCGTCACCACGGCTCTAGTCACCACGTTTTTGGCCGGCTATGTGCTTTAAGCAGTCGCACGGCTTCGTCATCCGTGATTCCAGGACACTCACGGAACTTGTGAGTGGTGGATATACATTTCAAGCAGCCGCTGCCAGGCGTCGAACTAGTCGGTGCCTGAGGCGTAGACTGTGCCGGGGTCACTCTCGGTAGCGCCTGCACTGAAGCTGGCCTAAATCTGAAGCTGGCCTAAATGTTTGGCCGCTTCCTTGCGGCATCCTCGGCGGCTCAGGTTTCCCGGCCGGCTTCGCTTCTTCTTCATAGCCGACAAAACGCTCGTGGCCGATGGCAAATTCACGCAACCAACGCACGAAACGGTACACGTCCTTCTTCTTCAGGGGCTTGTTTCGCGTCAGCGCCATCTGCTCCGTCACTGCCCGATGGAGTGACACCGGCTTGACCGCCTCCGTAATGATCTTTACGATGGAGGCACTTTCTTCTCGAATAACCCACTCCTGGTGGTCTCGGTGTAAAGCAGCCGCCACGCCGTCCAACATTTGCCCGATCCGAGAATCTGCGTCCGGGATCGACATGTCAAAAACCACCGAGGCCTTGACTCGTTTTTTGAGGGAATTCAGTGTCAGAGCGTCAACTTGAAATCCCAGCGTAAACCATGCCGCCCAATCGGCATCAGTTACCTCTTCCGGGAACTTCCCCACGTCCCACTCCGCCACGCGTTGTTTAGTCGCCGGCTCAATGCACGCACTCAACAGCATCAGAAATGGTCGAACGCCGTTCGCGGTAAGGGCATTCGTCTGGCTGATGTACTGGTTGTACGACGCCATGAACGCTCGCCGTTCTTCCTTCGTAGAACCCTTGAACATCGGGCTCTTTGGGAGGGCCGGTGCGTTGTGAATGTATACATCGCCTTGACCCATGTCCCAGTCTTCACTTACAGGGGCAGTCACACCGGGAACTGCCCTAGATGGCCCGCCAAATGCAGGAGTCTTAAAAATCGATGGTCCACCAAACGGCCTCGCCTCGTCGACCGCCACCGGCTGGTGTTGGCTATTAAATACATGATGATAACTTGAAGTTGGTCATAATTTATAGCTAACTTTGTTAGCTTTCCCAGAAAGTACATGTTTTTAGCGTCGAATAACGCTGCAACGGCTTGCTTGCTGGTACTACAATTGATATGAATAATGTAGACACTAGTGCGGGCTACTAAACTTGATATGTTGTGAGGCATTTGGGAGCTTGTGACATACGTCGCAAGGCTTCAAACATGCCATTTTTTGGAAATATAACCTACTTTGCATGAGAATAACTCAACCAGTAACAGCTTATTTATCGACAATGACATGTCATTACGTAGTGACAATGCTATCGATCAAGCCCACAAAATCTTAAATTCATCGGCATAGGTACGGCACCAGTACAGCAAGTTTAACGGGGCTACTTGGTCAAAACTCAAGTATAGATTAAAGTTTCCCAACTTTCTATGTTACAATTGTATTGCAAAGTTTTAATGGTAATTGAATGTTAAAAAAATTCAATCTAACATATCAATGTTAAGCCATTTAAACTAATCAAAATCATGAATTAAATAAAATGGGGAGAAGATCCTATTTATCCGGATACAAGCCCGGAAATATTTGAATTTCGACTTCACGCGCGTATTTTGGATATGCCCGCGCCCTGGACAGGAGACAGTGAAGCATAGAAAGTACTTCAAGGACTAGTCTACCAAGGCAAGATCGACGGAGGGACTGAGCCACAAGAAGCACATGCACTCGCCCCAGAAGTATTCAAACACTTCAACAACCAAGCATTCAGCCTACACCTTCGCAACACCAAAAGGGCGAACAGAACTTAAAAACCAAGTTAAGAAAAACAATTTGGAGGCGTCGGAGTAGAATGGACATAACTTTTGAGTCCGTTACGATATTTGAGTTTTGAGTAGTGATTCCAATAGCCAAGACGCGCCGCTTTCACTTCATAATCGTACTATCAGTTCAGACGATGAACTTCACATTGGTTACTTTATAAGCATTTGTACTCACATTTTGAAAACCAATTTAGGATAACCTATTTATCTTAAAATAAGTATTGGAGCATTGAAATTCTGTGTTTAGGGTAATCGGTTACAACAGGTTCCATATCATTTATACAAGGTTATTGTTTTATAGAGTTATATTTATGTTGTGGAAGGATATCCACTGAGTTTAACACTCGACAAAACCTCAGATCGAACCCAATGTGGCCCGTCTCGACTAGGGTACTTCAAACCCAATCTTAAATGACTGTTATCAATGGCTTCTACGCTGTTTTTGCATTTCGTTCACGTGACGGAATGGTCAGCATTATATGACAGAGGTTTTGACTCGAACATATAACGAGGTGTGATTGGGCAATACAAAGTTATCCTAAATTAGTTAAGTTATCTTAAACTGTTTTTTACGTTAAGTCCTTCCATACCCTTCCTTTTTCTTTACCAACTTCTCAATACTATAGATCTCCGTGTCACAACGAAACGTGCCCAAAGCACACGCTGTGACGTCACCGCCGACGACACTTAGGCAGACATCCCCCAACTCGGGCACGTGCTGCAAGCTCTATGCTCGGTTCAAGTGAAAGAACCACCACGAGAGACAACGTATCACTGCGACACCAGTATTATCTTGCTGTCCATGTATTGGACAGCAAGACAAAAGAGTGGTATGTCAGTGTTGTGTTGATTTTCATGTGGGGGGTTAAAGCAGAGACCCTTGAGATTACATCCGAAGATCCATCAACGTTGGTACTCACCTACGAATGGCCCCCAGCAATGGTATTCGTTCTTGACCCCTTCGAAAAAGAATTGACTGAGCAACCATCAACCAAAATGTGGGCGAGGGCGAACGCTTTTGCGGCGGCAATTGATGAGCAACTGGGCAATTTTGGCGCCGCTCCAATCAGCACTCAAGTCATTGATTTACCACGACCCTCCGTTCCACACAAATCACGGTTTACGGTTGCAATGGACGGTGTTGTGCCGAAAGAAATGCTTGTGTTCGAGTTCAAAGCACAAATTAGCAACGGCAGTAGCTCAGATTTTCGCGATTGAGCTCTATTCACAGATATGCATTCTTTTTTAAAACTAAATTGTCAGTGTGCTTAATGTACAAATGGCAACGATGCATTGTAACAGCAAAGTAGATCAGTTCCTACAGCCTCCAGGTGCAAAATATGTACAGTAATGGCAAAACACTCGATATAATCATGCATCTGAGCCTTTTTTACAACTGACAGTATGGACTAGAGTTGACTTATGTATAGTATCCAAACTACTTTCTCATTACTACGTAGTATTAACTGTAAAATACAGTACTGTGCAGTGTTTGCCAGCAATAGGGGACTTTGTCTGTAGAGTGGTACTACTCGTCGACGTGGATGACTCAAAAATATAACGACCATGTCACGACGAATCCGTGGTCGAATTCTCTGATTGGCCTAAAATACATCGATTAAACGGTGACAAAGATCTGAACTGGTTGTCGTTCAGGACGGATGCATGAAACTCCTACAGAAGCGCCTTGCGCTCAGCGTTCGTGTAACGCCGCTGCTGCATGGTGGCTGGCGCTGCCTCTCGTAGAATGCCATTTTGACATGGAAGTGTGAAGTTTCAAATTTCAAATTGCAAATTGAGTTCGGCCAATCACAGCTGACCAACATCTTTGAGAATTCCGTGCAGTCAATTTTATCCAATTGGATTTATTCGTTACGATGCCCACAGTTCGAAAAATCTATTTTATTGACGTGTGCTACTTTCGTCGACTTTTACTGGCAAACACTGTACTAACTCTGTCCAAGGATGATTGCGACTGGTACCTGTATGAAAAACAGAACCTCCTTAACTCCGATTGGCCTGTAAATTAGTGAAGGGATGAATTATATATGTCAAACTTCGCCTAAACGGCCATGTTAAAATTCAATACAAAAGTGAAGTTGATAATTTCCGACGACCACATTTTGGCAATTGACATGGCAATACCGTACAATCCTACTGTCTGTTTGGGCGAGGCGAATTCAAAGAAATTTTCCAGTGAGCCGATTTAGATGCTCTTTTTTACAATCTCTTCGTCACCAACCATATATTCTGCATGCAAAATCTTGAAGGTCCAACTGAGAAACTCTGCTTTACGTTTGCAAGCAAAGATTCATGAACACTAACGTAATATTATAATAATGTAGAATATTATTATAGTAAGAATTTCGCAATAGTTTTAATAAATGGTACCTCTCATGTAGTAATGCTAACCGTCAAATTAGACAACCTATGGGATATGGTCCATTTTGAGGTTCAATGCCGACAAAGATCGCCGCCAGGTGTACCTGGTTCCTGGTGAGACCCCTAAGCGGCGGATGTGAGAGAGCAAGAACTTCACCTCTAAGGTGATATTCTTGGCCACGGTTAGCCGGCCTCGCTTTGACCACGACCACGGGGAGTTGTTTGATGGCAAAGTGGGCATGTGGCCATTCGTCCAGTCCGTCCTCGCTGTTCGCAACTCACGCAACCGTCCCGCCGGCACCATGGTCACGTTCTTGGTCAACGTAAATGCAACTGTGTACCTAGACTACGTCATCAACAAGGTCATAACCCCGAGAGCGTCTTCTCACGTTTCAGTCTGTGATGCGATTGATCCTTGAGCACGACGGAGGCAACCACTACGTCTTGCCTCACCTGACTGTGAAGGAGGCCGCCTTGCGACACACTGGACTTCTGATGCAGAATGTGTCTTGCCCTGTTTCCCTTCTTTTGTACGCTAGGACTTAAAGACCAATGACATTATTTAACGATTTTGTTTTTAAGACTCAAGTATAGTAAGTATACTTAAGACTTACGGGACAGAATTGAATATTAATACCAACCTTGGATATTATGGTTAATATCATATAATTGAACTTCGGCCGTAGGCCGTGCCGCTCCCGGACAAGGCCTGTATGACATGACCTAGCATTATCCTAATTTACTCTCGTCTATACAAATTAGGATGTGACCTAATATTAATGGTGGATGACGTTGGGATGACGTTTGGATGACACATGATACTATCACGGATATTTGAAATCCATATAAATAATTTGAAGTACCTGTTTTAAATTTTCGTTTCCATTAACTGTAGGTACGCTCCATTAGGTGATGAAACTTCGTATTGGACTATGGCGAAATATCCAATCGCCCATGTAAAATACCGCTAGGTTAAATATTATCTATTTCTGGACCAATTATTCACCAAATTTGAATCTGAGACGTAAAATTTCTTCACCACATGAGATCTGTCGATTCTACGTCTCAATTTGCTGAAATTTTGCGTAGTGAATACTATTGTAGGGGTTTTGGGAAGGTACACCGTGCATAGAATTTGTAA